CATGATCCCATTCCCAAGGGTGGCTGTTCTGGCACAGCAGCTCAGGTTCTCTCCCCTGTCTGCTGAAGAAACAAGGGCTGCAGGATTCTAAAGCATTGACCTTCACCACATCCCATYYCTCTGGGATCCCATTTCTCTGGGATCCCATTTACTTGCTGCCATCTGAGGAGGGGCCAGATCACTTTCCTTCTCCATGACATTTTGCTTGTCCCTGAATTTTGTGCTGCATTTTCAGAGAAAATACCTTTGTGCAGCTGTAGCTCCCTCCTGCATTTCCCCATCCTCCTGCWCAAGCTGCTCACTCAACCTGGCAAAACTCACTTTTTTTTGGCTTTTGCCTCTTTGCTGACTTGAAACATCTGCTGAATAAGCACTTCCACAAGAAATRCAGTCAGCATTTGCATACCTTTGGAAACAAAGGCTCTTCCTCATATTTTGGGAAGAAACGCCCTGAAATGTGACTACACTTCTCTCCACCCTCAGCCACCAGAATATGAACCCATTTTCTTCCTGCCTATATTTTTTTCAGCAAGAAATGAGAGAAATGAAARTTTATTCATGTTCACTGTGTTTTCAATATGATACAATTCAGCCTCTGCATTCTAAATTTTGTCACCCAGAGACTTAGATCAGCCCTGTCCTTACTGCAGTCTCCTCTCACAATAGAATTTCTGGACATTACAAAACTTTCTTATGGATCAAGTCATTTACTGTTCTGACACACCCAGACTCATATTTTTTTAAAAGAAAGCATCCTGAATTTCTTTTTTGAGAACATGGAAAGATTCCAATTGGAAAAAATGTCAAAAGGGAAATATTTTTGTCTCCTGTTTGAGAACAAAATAAACCTGTGCCTTTTTTTTTATAATTGTTTATTTGTGGGGCTTTTTTTTCCTATTATATTTATCTTTATGGAATCCAGCTCCAGTAAAATAGAAAGTCTCCCTCTTCCATGATCCTGTATGTTCCAAAATCCAGAACCAGTCCATGACTAGTAGGCTGGGAAATCTGACACCAAGTTAGTGAGGAATGACAGGAGGATTCCCCTAGTCCAGTCCAACACAATGAATGTGTTTTATGATATTAAATTATGTTCCACTGAAACCTTTTTGGGCTTCTTCTGATCTGTATCTTCTGGTATGGACATAATAGGGCACAGTGAAGAACTTTAAATCTTGGCAGAGACAGATATGTAAAAAAACCCCAACTCAGTCAAGAGAGAAAAAACAATCATAGGAGAAAAATTTTAAGGAGGACAAAAGATGGGGATGAAAGATCATTTACTGTGACAAYTGGTATTTTTCCTTAATGAAGGGAATCAAATGCTTCATCTTTGCCCCACACTTCCATTGTAACTTTTACTTTCTATAAGCAGAAGAGGACTTTTTTTTGCTTTTTGTTCATTTTATAGCAGTCATTTTTATCAGTCATTTATTTGTTTAAAGAGACCCCACAAGGAACTGAGCAGCAAATCCAATTACCTTATTTTGCAAGTTATTATAGTTGCCAGAGACATAAAAAAGAGCAAAAGAAAGACTTGAAAACAGGAACACTGAGAATTTTAACTGAGAAGATCCTACTAATGCAAAAGCAAGATAAAATCTGGGCACGTAGAAGAGAGGCTGAGATACATTATTTATCAGCAAAAGAAAGCTGTAAGTAGAAAGCAAACAGGAATTCATCTAGAGGTTAATTCCTCCAGCAGAAAAAAAAAATGCTAATTTTAGTTCTGGGTGTCTTCGTAGTACAGAAGGTCTGAGGAATTATCTGAACAGGTGGCAATGAAATAGTAAAGCAGATAAATATTTATTGAAGTCAGGAGAGACAGGAATCACTGAGGAACAGATTTCCCTTGCAGTGAGCTTTCTGCCCTTGCATTTTACCTTGTCCACATTCACTTGTRAGGCATTGCCTCCCCTGGGCTGCTGTGTTCCTAAAACTCAGGCTAAAATTCAAATGACATTGTAGTGCAACAAATTTAAATGAATAAAGAGAATTTCATTGAAGTGAATTGAAATCTAGCTGAATTAAAATTGTGTAAGAATGAAATGGGATTCTTTGCTTTCTTAGCTTGCCCATAAAATGATCATTTTTTAGGTAATTCTTTCCCATTTAAAAAAAATACAAACTGGCATTTAAATCCATGACACAGATTCAGACTGAATGTAAGGAYGTCCTACTAAACCATTTTGTATCCATTTCCTTCACTTTACCCTGTATTTACTGAGGAGATCTTCTCTTCTGACACTCCAAACTTTGTTCTGTTCTCTCACAAGAGGCAGCAAAAGTTTCTTGTGAGTCCCAGGTTCTCCTGTTTTAGATGTGCTTTTTTTTCCTGCTGGGATGTGTCAAACAGCAAAGAACCTAATTCTGATCCACACACATTCACATTTAATTMATTTCAATAATTGATAATGCTTAATTAATCATTTGTACTGTCAGCTTTATAAACTAGATTTCAATAGCTCTCTTGAATCCATAAAAGGGGATATTTTTTAAAAAACTGAGAAGAATGGAAAAAATATCTCCTATTGACAGGGGCATTGGAAGAAAAATATTTGAAATTAATTTTAATCTAAAGAGCATGGTTGCACTTAGGTGAGCAGTTCAAAACAGATAATTCTGAATATTGCAGTGTGTGTATTTGGGAGGAGGCAGTGGGTGCATATGCTTGATTCTTTTGGTAAATACGCAAAACAAAAGATCAGGGAGAGACTTTTGAAAAGCATTTTGGCTGGAAAAGGTTGTTCCTTCTGTGCCATGAGTTATATCATCTGCAAAGACAGCCTCTCACTGTCTCCTGTAGCACTAATGCAGCCTTCCACCCCTGTGCATCCCCCAATCCCATCCTCCACCCATCCTAAACACCCCATGGGATCCCTCCCATGTCTGGGTGTCACCTTAGAGCACCTTGCAAAGGACAAGCCTCAGGTGGAGCAGGTAAAGCATCACTGCAGTTGTCACTTCAGCMCAGCATGAAAGCTTAGATCTGCTTCCTAAAAATAAAATATTCTATTGCTTTGACTTTCTGACAGTTTCTCTTAAAATCTGGAGTCACTCTCTTCTCTTTACCTACCCCTCCTGAGTTCAGCRCACACAAAAGTGTATCAAAGTTACTACTTTTGTGTAAGAAAAAAGAATCCCACAGCGTTTCTTTGTAATAACTGTTCAGCTACAAAATTTTATTGGTCTCCTTCTATGTTCCCTCTAGAGGATGTAATGCACAAAAGCATTGCCACGGAACATATAAAATTACAAATGAAATTTATTGTAAAAAGTAGAATGTCTTCTAGACTGGTGTCAGTATTTATTTCATTCATAAACCAAAACTGCAGGTATAATATATTCATTGTCAGCAAGTTCATGTGTGTAAATTGCCATCCAACAGTATTGACTGATATAAGACAGATATTGAAAAGACAATTTAAATTTACTCTTCCAAACATAAACTGTTCCACAAAAGCACTGTAAAAACTCCTTCAAGGTTTCGTGTTGTGCTTCACATTTATGGTTAACTACATAATTTGGTTGTGTCATAATCCACTGTGTTTGGCAATTTGGCATTAAAGGCCTGCAAAGCAGATTGGATCCTCACCACTTCACTGGTAGACAGCTTGAGTCTGTGACGGAGCAAGCAGGAGAAGAGGTCCAGACGACGTTGGCCGGGGGGAGAGAGTTTATTTACACGATCCCGAATCTCCAACAGCTGCAAAAGTGCTGAGTCCTGTGAGCCCTGAGTGTAGGGGTAGTCCAGCTGCAAAATCAAGTCTCGAATCGCCTCTGGGTCGAAGTGCATGCTGTAGCCAAACACTTGGATGTTGTTGATTTTCATGTAGCCCAGATTTCTCGAGGGATCGATAAACTCCAGGGGTTCGTAGTAGATGCTCTCGTTGCCGTTCGGACCGTTTGACTTTATTCGACTCCTCAAGTAGATGTGCACGGTCTCAAAAAACGTCTTCCACTTGTTGCCCAGAGTCAGCGTCCAGTTATAGCACTGAAGGGGTAAGTCCAGCTTAGTCCGCTCCCAGTCTGGGAAATTGTTTTCATTCACAGGCATAAACCAGCTCTCGGAGTGGCTGCCCCCGAAAGGGTTGACATAAACAGCGAGGACGGGCTCTAAGGTGCTGTTCTTAGTCAGGCAAATCTGCAGRGAGAGGCCCAGTATCATGTGCACCAGGCTGGACTTGTACTTGTTGCTCTTGAGCGTCAGGAGCATCCTCTTCCTCCAGGAGGGGTCGAACCAGCTGTTGAGGCGCATGTCGTTGCTGATGAAGATGGCGTGCACCTCGATCCTGCGGTCGGTTTTCTGCAGCAGGTACCTCATCTCCAGGTCCTGCAGGTCKGTCTCGAAGCCGATGTAGTGCTCGGTGGAGTCGGCCACCTCGGGCTTGCAGAGCCCCTGGCTCAGCATGTAGCCAGCATTGCAGCCGCCGCAGCGCGTGCGGTTATCGGGGGCGCAGCTCAGGCAGGCAGGACCGTCGCCCACGGTGCAGGGCAGGGAGCCCTGGCACGCCACCTGGTCGTTGGGACACGTGCACGTGTGGGTCTCCTCCGAAAAGCTGCCCAGCAGCCCGTTCTCGTTGCAGTACAGGAACGACTGGATGCGGTTCAGCCAGTAGTTGGATGATCTGCAATGGGAAAATAGCTTGTTTTAGCAAGGAGAGGCCTGAACACAGCTGATACAGCTTGGGTATATTTCATCAGAAATACAAATAGAAAGCTGGTTTTAGTGTCAGATTAAGGCATGATAGCCAGACAGCGTCTGCTGTCAGATAAATACAGGTATAAATTGCCTCTTAACAATGCAAAATCACAAAAGTTTCCTTATAAATCCGCAGGCACGATGGGAACATTTAGTTTATGTATTTTCTTTCACTCTGTCTCTGTCAAAGAAGCCTAACAAAGAGCCATTTTCTGTAATCGTCTTCAGATTAACATCTTGAAATCCTACGCAGTTGAGATTATTTTTGTGTGTCCTATTTGATCAGACAAATGCTTTGTGTGTAGCTAAGTGTCTGTCTCTAACTCTACTGTCCCTCTATTCTATCATGAAGTTTTTTGGTTTTTTTTTACCGGCTGGAGCYGCATTGATTTATAGACAGTGAGCCAAAATCCTTTCCTGGAATAGCAATAGGAGCCTGCTCCCCACCTGAACAGATTCTTCAGATGACTTCCAGCACTACAGAATCTCTACAGGAAGCCATGCMTGGGCATGCTGTGTTTATTTTTCATCTTTGGAGACAAAATTAAAGGATTGGTTTAATGTTCTTCTTGTCATCTCATTTTGGTTTCTCTAGGAGCAAGAGTTAATGTCCCACATCACACTGAGAAGATTCTGAACCCAACAGTTCAGGCTGATGAGGCACAGTCACATGAAGAAAGACAATGGGAGCAGCAGAGCTACATGGAAATAGTCAGAAAAATTATCTTCTTTCTTTGTATTTTTCAGCTCCTATTATTCCCAGCAATGCACAGTTTAAAGAACTTGTTTTGTCTGCTGCAGTCAGATCTGTTGTTGCCACATAAATGACAATGGTTGTACATTTTCTTCCCTTTTCATTGCATTGTTTCAGAGAGAAAAGGCAAGAGCCTCAWTTACTCCTGACTTACTTTTTAAGTCTCATCTGAATTTGTCTCAAGGAGAAAACCATGGCATCTCAAAATTTCATGTTTTAGAAACATGAAAATAAAGTTCAGTAAAAGAAAAAAAAATACATCATTGTATATTCTGGTGACTTYTTAAATCTTTGTAWTTTTTCCCTTTTTTAGGGCAGGAACCTTGGYTGTTCAGGGTTAGGGGTTTATGCACCTATAGTCTCTGAGTATTTTCTAGAAGCATAAATAAATATAATAACATGCACAACATGAACATGCCTCATCATGATTCTCCTTTGTGCTTATTTGAAAGCCAGCATTAAGCAAAAATATTCTGRCGAGTTTATTCCTTCGTTCCCTGATTGAAAACCACAAGGTCTGTTCTGCAAGCAAGGTCGATGTCACAACACAAAAGTTACCCCAGAGCTTGAGAAGACCTTGAGGCTGTCCTGGGTGGAATGGGCAGTTCCTGTGGGCTCTGTCTGAGTTGTTTGGACAGCAGCCTGTGCTCTCAGCCACACCARATGTGTGTGGCCCTGGTGCCCATTTTGGGCTGAACCCTCTGGCCAGGCTGGGGGTCACAGCTCTGTCTCACTGCTGCTGATGTCTACTGGCTTTTCCCTTTTTTTTCTGTTACATATTTTCTGTATTCTTTACACATATATGGAGCTCTGGAGATTATTATTCCATTCAGAATTGCAATTAAAATAATAATTGCAATAAGTTGCATTGCAATTTCCCAGTGCTTTTCCCTGCCCTTTTCCCCAGCTTGAAAGACGAAACACAGAGCCTTGGGGGTACAAGGTCCCATCGTATCCTGGTTCTTCCTGTGAACCAAGGTCTTCAAGAGCCAATTCCATAAACAGGAACAGCTGGGACTGAGGGTGGGGGGCTCCAGAGAAGGGGCTTGACCTGAGGGGAATTGCATCACCACTCGTCCTCTTAATTGGGGTTTTTTATCAATTACACTAATTTCCTAAAACCCATTAAACTGTACTCACCCCTATGGGCATGGGCTTTTGTGGATATTCCTCCACAACTGTCCCTGGAGCTCCAATAAAGATCCACTTTTATATTGTCTCCTACACTAAAATTATCTCGAGTTTCATTTCTAGGTTGAAAAAGGCAGCACTACAACCCCATGGGCACCACAGCAACCRAAACAGAGCAGATCCTTTCCAAAGGAGGGAATCTAACCTTTCAAAGGCTTTTCCCTAATCCTTTGTGGGTCCCTGTGCTTATTTAAGAATTGAYACTGAGTCCCAAAAGCTGCTCTAAGATATAAAAGTCTGGTTTATTTATTGTAAGTCTTTGGTTAATGCCATTTGCTTCACAATCACCTTCATAAAGTTGTAACCTTATGATTCATTACACTGGGCAGATTTCAAAGMTGGATTATTTGCATTTTAATCTCCAAGTTTCCTTTTTGTTTTGTGGCTACCAGGTGATAGCACATGGCTACTGATACTGTGTTTGTAACTGTGACTTTCAGCGTCCTCTTCCACTTGTGCTGGGCACAGAATTCTGTGCCTTGGAAAAGTTTARTTTTTTATCAGGAATACATTTCCARAAAGCCTCTTTTTACACAGASCAACCTGAGCTTCCAGCTGTGGTTTTGAGTTCATGTCAGCAGAGGGCAAACAGCTGAAGAGATTTTCTGAGTGTATTTTTGAATATTTTATACTGAGGTGGACTGGGTGTCATGTGAGCACAGCTTTAAAGTGATTACTGTTTTGTTTCATGTACACTGGCTTCCTCTTCAATCTAGTCAACAGCATTACAACTTTTCCTCTTTATAAATTATATTACTGTTTATTATTTGGCACTGAAACAAGTTATAAATAGTTGTCCACATTGGTTTTTTTTCATATACTAAGGGTTTTGGGAAGGAATTCCTGCATAATTAGATGGGAAAAGTATCTGGAATGCAGCGTGAACTAGGCAAAGAGAAAAGTGAAAACTGGCATTACTTCAGATTGCAGGAGAGAACAGAACTGGGAAAACAGGGAAGGAATTGGAATTCTCTCAGTCAACAGAGGTGATTGGAAGAGGGACAACGGGTGAGGAATTTGGCATTCTTGGAAGAGGAGAATTTTCTATTGCTGGAATGAACCTATTTACACCAGCAACATTAATTTACTGGCAAGGGTTGATTAGGTTTGGGGTACTCACTTTTCCAGCCACAC